AATAATATATTATATTACCTATATATTTCTTCAGATTTTTTTGGAAGGATATTCAATCTTATTTATTAGATATTAAATCGAATTACTTTTAAAAGAATATATATTATTCGAAAAATATTCTATAAAACTTCATATATAGAAATTCAATTTCTATTTATATAAATATATATCGAAATCCGAATAAAGAAATATTCTATTTTCTTTTTAGAAATATAAGAAGAGAAAAATAATTTTTTCAAATTTTTCAATAAATTTAACTATATATTCTCATCTTGAAATAGAATTTCTCGCATAAATTTTTGGTAAGATCATATGAGTTTACTTTATCAATATCAATAATATTTTTATTTTCAATTCTATTCTTCTATTATCCTAATCATAATGAAAGAAATAACAGGTCAAATCATTTTGAATTTCTATTTATTTGGATAAATCTATACCGAATCAGAAGAATCAATTCATTATCTCCGCAATTATATTCATGTACGACCTGCTGATGTGCTGCTACAGAAGGTTGTTGGAATTGATGGCAATCGAAGAGACACAAAAGAAGGCAATAATTCAGACTTCTTCGTTATAGAATTTGCAATTTAGATTTCGATCCAATCCGTCGTTCACACGAAGGTCCCATCTTTTCTGTGGGCAGCTATCTTTCAGAAGAAGTCCACGACCACATCGCCTGTCCGGGAAAAAGATCGGGATGTTCTGGACTCATGAGATTCCATCCTGACTTCCAATCCCAGGGCCCCAAGCTCTGAAGTAAGATCTAGCACATCTGCATCATGTCAACAATCCATTACCGGATTCTGAGCATAACAGCGTAAAGGAATGGCACGGACTCTTGGCAAGCTAGTCTTGAGACTTTGGGAGGTCCCTTGAAGTGTGAAGGACGAAGCCTCAAAGCCCCGCCATAACTAACCCATCAGCGAGTTGAGTCGAACCTCCGCTCGATGGCGCAGTGCTGCCACCTACAGGAAATGCCAATAGCAGATTCAACACATACAACGCCTCTGGATCACGCTTTCGTTTAGATGTCACGAAGTCATGGAGTGCTCTGACTGTCGGTACAGAATCAATCGGTGAGTTCCTGGAAACTCTGAGGAAGTCGACTGGAGACAGCTAGTCTTGCCGGACACACCAAAGCAAAAGATGAAAAACGTGGGAAGCAGAACCTCAGCCTGCGTGAAAAGCAGTCTGAAGAGTGGCAAGCTTGGACTCGGGGGTCTGACTGTTCCTGCGGCTAAGCCCGATGATCAGTGCGTGTCTGTCTGTCTGTCTGTC